ATTTTATAAGATGGTGGTGAGACCTGCAATGCTTTACAGCACATAATGTTACAATTAAAAGAGAAGCAAAAAATTAAGTTTAAGTGTTACAGAAATGAGGATGCTCAGGTGGATGGGTGGCTTTACTCTTAGGGATAGAATGCGAAATGAGCATATACGTGAAAAGGTTGGAGCAGCTTTAGTAGCAGACAAGTTTAGAGAGAGTCATCTTAGATGATTTGGTCATATAAAATGTCGGCCTTCTGATGACCTGGTTAGGAGATTAAATATATTAGATTTGACTTATATTAAGAAATGTAGAGATGGACCTAAAAAGATTTAGTTAGAAAATATTAAAATTAGTCTTTCTTTATTAGATTTAAATGAGAATTTGACTCTTTACATAACACAAAAGATAAAAATGATTCATGTAGCCGACCACACAGAGTGTGATAAAGGCTTGATATTGTTGTTGTAGTTGTTGTTTTTGTTATTGTTGTTATTGTATTTTCCATATCATCATGTTAAGGTGAATTAAGAATAAGTTATGGGTCATGATGAGTGTTTGAGATCACAACAATTGTGTGTCTCAGATACTAAGGATAGGCCATCTTCCATAAGAATGTTAAACTCAATTTTATAACATAAATGCACTCTTCGGTGCATGAGGGTTCATTAATAGTTATTAAGAAGACAGAACCTTCAAAAAGTGCACTATATGATTTGACGTCAAAAAAATCAATGTTTAATGTGTGTTCTGTTCATATTTTCCCAAAGAGATATCAGAGTTTATAAAAAGAATGATAATTAACTTGCTTCACTAGGTAGAGGATCTTGAATTAAGGTATTTATGTGACATTTAATGAATAATGATATATCCTTTGCAGGAAATGAAGCCTCTCTAGATGATTCATGTATTAATTTATAGCAATCATTGAGATTAATGGAGGGAACAATATTTTATGGTAGGTGATAGATTCTAGTAAAGATTTATGGGATGTAGGTTAGGGTATATTTTCCTACCTAGTTTGAGCGAGTGTATTTTGAACTTTTAATTTTTATTTATAAGCATAGCAGTATTATAATGATCATCATATTTAATATTCATACTATCAATCCATGATTTTTCTTAAATGACATGTGTTTCTGAAGTAAGGCATTACATCAAGCTAACTAAGTTTAATAGGAACAAGGTACCTACTAACGTCTTGTGTTTACAATAAATGATTTGTTAATATCCCAGTAACATGAAAAGGATGATGATGAGTTCAAATTTTATGTTAGCTCTTAATAGTATTTTAGAGGAGATAAAATTTAATGTATTATTTCACGTAGTGCATATTAATATTTAGATGATATTAAAACAATGATTGCCCTACATTTATAGATTGTAAATATTTGAAAATTTTAATCATCTAAGGTTATTATAACCCAATATGTAGTGAAGTTAAATGAGGTAATCAGTTTCACCAATTAGGTAGGAGAGTTCAGCATTATTTTTTAGGTGAACAAGTAATCCTAGTATTCCTTGAACATGTTTTGTAGATTGTTAGATCTTTCATCATCCCTAGTTTCTTTTTCAAATTTCATATAACATTGATCCTTATTTAAACTTGTATACCTTTTAACTACCTATTTACCCTTTCATATAGGGCTAATGGAAAGGAACTAGGATTCATGATGTTGACTAAAAAATGATGATAATGCAAATGAAGTGATGTTTTTGAAAACAATTTTAGGAGAAGTAGGAAGAAAATAGCTGATATTAAAATATATTGATCGAATTGAGCTATGTGATCTAAAAGAATATTCCAGATAAGGAGAGGATCACAAATGCGACTTATATCCCAGGCACAAGAAGTTTTTTTCTTCTTTTTGAGTTTTTTCTATTTTTTGACCTACAGATTAAAAATGAAAAATAGCATAAAAAATAAAATTGCACAAAACAAACAAAATTACAAAAAATTTTGTATGAGTCATGAATAATATTCAATGAATGAGTTATGAATGTTCAAGAAAATCTAGTCATGATGCATATGTCATCAATAATATTAATAAGCTTGTAAGAGTTAAGGATCAAAAGTAAGACAGTATGCAAATCTACTCCAATGATTATAACTTTAAATCACACCCAAAGGTTAAGGGCTTTTCTTATTTGTGGAACAAATTTCTCACCACATTTAACTCTCAAGTAAAAAAGATAGGGTAGGTATATAATGTGTTAGGCAATGATTAAGGTGGCGATCACTACTTAGATGAAATGACTAACCACTTTAGCTTGCTGACAAACTTGCAAGGTTGTTGGATTCTATGTAAGTAATAATATACCAAATTAAATTATTAAAAATTTATGATTTGAAAATGTTACCCACAAGAGAAAATTAAATCTACACTCATTAAAGCAAATTGTTAAAGATTAATAGAGACTTTTTTCTTCTTCAAATTTCAACAGGCTTATTGACTTTTTGGGGAAGCCTCCTTAGCTTTCAATTCCTCTTTTTTGAAGCCTCCAAGATGGTGAGATAGGATCCTTTGACCAGATAGCAAAATGATGGAGTCATTGTTGATGGGAATATGTATTCGGTTGGTGGACAAGTAGGCCAGGAGAGAGAAGTAATCGAGAGCAAAACTATACATAAAGAGAAGAATGTTGCATGGATTTTCTAGGAGAAAACCTTATAGAGAGAGGACAAGGATAAAGGAGAATATATATGCGTATTTCCTAAAGCTCGTGCTAGTTGGTTTGCAAATCAAGCCAAAATTATCAAGCTCACAAGTAAGAATCGTAAATTTATAGGCAACACAAAAAATTCATTTTTCTTTCCATCCAATGTTTATAATACAAGACAACAGTTCTAAAATTCAAAATTGAAGAAAGAAATTGAAGTTATATTAATTTTCATCATCAATAAGGCTTTATTTAACTCCCTAATTGAATTTGAGTATTGTAACCTCTAATGACATAAATGAAGCTTTGAATGATTTGTAATCTTCAAATTTTAAGTTCTTGAAACCTTCTAATTGAAAGTCTAAATTGTAACATCACATTTTGACTTTTAAATCCTTCTTGAATCCTTATCAAACCATCACTTTGATGATGTTTATAATAATCTTTTAACTCCCTAATTTATTGTTTCATAAAATGTAATTACCTAATTTGAATTACTTATAACTCCTTGCACTATTGATATTGATGATGATGAGGGGCCACCCACATAAATGAAGAAGATGAATCATAGCTAACTTCAATAATACTGCAAGTAATTCAACTACTTCCAACTACCAACTAGCCTACTAACTTTTAACTGACAATTTTCAAGCAATTTAAGTAACTCTTGAAAAAATTTTGCACTAATAATTTGAAATAAAATCATATTAACATGGGATTGTAGTTATCTCCATATTTATATGATTGTCATGTCTCACCCCTTAGCAATGACACCCACCTAGGAGAAGTGAAGTTCTATATCCTCACATCACCTCACCCAAGCACCTAGGAGAGCATCTGAAGCATCTTTGAAAATAGGAGTTGAAACAAGAGAGAAGAATATTAAAAAAAGAAGTTAGTAGTTCAAATAAAATGAGATTTTTACTGAAAGATAAAAAATAAGATCAACAACAACAATAACAAATCTTTCTCCAATAAGTGGGGTCAGCAACAAGAATCATTTTCTACATTTTATCCTATTAAGAGTCAAATTCTCATTTAAATCTAATAAAAAAGGCCATTTCTAGTACTTTATAACCAAGTATTTTTAAGTCTACCTCTACGTTCCTTAACATAAGCTGGATCTAATACATCTACTCACCTAACTAGATCATTAGAAGGCCAACGATTAATGTCACAACTATTTCTAATTTTATTTCCACTAAAGCTACTCCAACCTTACATATATACTCATTTTGCATTTTGTCTTACTATAAGAAAAAACAATTGCTTGGTGAATCTTCACTTTCTATATCTTTCTCTTTGTCATTTTTAATTCCTCAAAAAGAACTAAAAGTGTCCTTACCTTACCCCCTAAGGACCTATCTATAAGCATCAACAATGCAAAGAAGGCATCAGAATAATAGTACGAACTAGATCTTCTTCTAACCACTTTGCTATGTTGGAAAATCACCACATCTACAACACAATAAAATCTTAACGCTCTAGAATCTTTGCGTGAATCGAAGTCCGCCATTTTTCTCTGATTAGACATTAGTCTTTGTGGTTTGAAGCCTTTGAATGAATTCATCTAAATCAAAGATTACAACGCATTTAGCTATAAATTTCACATTTCTAAAGAGATTGTTCAAAGGAACCAAATGGACCCAACAACAACAACAACAACAACAACAACAACAACAACAACATCAAGCCTTTATCCCACTACATGGGGTCAGCTAAAGGAACCAAATGGACCCGAAAATTTGAAATCTACAACACAAATACTATCATCTATTATTTCAAGCTACTAGTGTCGGAGTAAATTCCATTCAAATGAACATCATCCCATTAACATGTTGAAAGTCCATCAACGAATAATTTCATAATCCACATCGAGATTTAAATTCCCTCAAGAGAGAAGTCACTCATACAAGCCTAGCTATCTGAATAAAATCCACATTGCCTACTTCATTTAGGTCTTCTCATAGGGTGAATTTATTTATTAATTGTCACAAGCAATGAATTCCAGGCCCAACAAAACTACACGAATTTACTTACCCTCGCTACTTGATAATCATGGTTTCTCAACGCAAGTATAACAAATTCCATCTTTCATAAGTTTACATTAATAAAAACAAACCCTAATAAAGAACATTTCAGCACTCTTAAAAACGGGAAAAAAAATCCGCATGCTCGTTTATGAAATACACTTACAAGCCCATATGTCGCTCATATTCATTCAACCAAAAAGTGAAAATCTGAGAGTAAACCCTCACCTGCCCCAAGCTTTTCCCAATCACATAGGCAAGATTAAATTTATCCAAATAAGGAAAAGCAAAAAAGGGAAATTAAGATCGGCATCGAGACTTACTCCAGGTAACGTTCTTTTATTGTGGCAGGCATTGACTGCCTTGTCCGCTTCCTGCCTAGAAGGGCAGAACAGGAAGCAGCAACCTGCAAGGTAAAAAAAAAAACATAAGGCAAGAAAATTCAGTGCGAACTTTAAATCCACCTCTAAGCCAAATTCCACAGCCAGCATTCCGGAGATCCGGCGAAAAACGACGAATCGATAGACTGGAATTGAGAGAGAAAAAAGAAAAGATCTAGAAGGAGCATGATGAAGAGATCGACTACCTCGAGAGGCCTTGGTAACTTTGTCCTTGATGATATTGACTTCGTCAATAAGGGCCACCTCCTTGAACATTGCAAGTAGCTGCTCCTCCGTCATGCCCTTCGGCACCTGACCCACGAAAAGCTTCACGCTCTCACCTCCTCCACCATTCTCTTCTCGTCCTTCCACAGCACCACCGGAGGCCTCCGTGGCGACGCTTTTACCCTCTCCATCCGCCTCCATTCTTCTCCCAATGATCTCTCTCTCTCTCTCCCTCTCCCTCTCCCTCTCCGCCTTGCCTTCTCTCCCTCTCAGTTGCGTTCGCTAGTTGCGGTTATGTTGATGGACAGTCTGTAATTAGGGATAACAATTTCATTTTCAGCCGGTTCAGACATCGAAGCAATGCAAAGGGCTTATAATTTACCATTCACAGAAGAGAATTTGACAATCTTAGCCTTTTCAGCCGGTTAAACATTTTTCGGTTGTAACGAAGCAATCTCTATTGTTTTTCGAACTGCCCGACGAATATAATATTTTACGTAAATTATGTATTATAAGGCATTTGACTTCTACCGATCAGTAAAATGCCCAAATTAGCCTCGATAGGCACAATTAATTTCATACTAACTTAAAAAATTAGCTCATGAATATTAAGTATGTCAATTCAGGGTGAATGACTTGATTTGACCAATCAATTAGAGGCTTCATTTAGGATAGTTTTTTTACTGATTTCTATAACAGCTTTTTAATAGAAAAATTTTAAATAAAAAAAAAAATTATACTAAAAATTTATTTTAGAAAGCATTTAAAAAAATTGTCCCAAATGAAACATGATTAACTTAAAAAATTAGCTCATGAATATTAAGTATGTCAATTCAGGGGTGAATGGACTTGATTTGACCAATCAATTTGAGGCTTCATTTATGATAGTTTTTTTACTGATTTCTATAACAACTTTTTAATAGAAAAATTTTAAATCAAAAAAAAATTATATTAAAAATTTATTTTAGAAAGCATTTAAAAAAATTATCCCAAATAAAACATGAGTTATCTTGGATCAGTGCTTGGGCATATGGCCATGCAATCCTAAAATAATTAGACTGAGCTAGCTAGAGTCAACCCTAAATTACTCTTAGGACCTAATTTAGCTTATTAACAAATTTTTTATTTATATTAGCTAAATTGAGCCAAATTGATTATTTTATTAGCTAAGTTGAATCTTTGAGCTTAGATCGGCCTAAGTTGACCCATTTAGCTCAATTGGACCAAAACCTTTAAATTGACAAAAGTAATTAATTATGAGCTTTATAATCAATATTAATGAGTCAACCATAATTTCAGAAGTATCAAGCGACCTTTAATTAGGCATATTGGCTAATCCAACTCAAGAGGACTCATCAAAGCCCTAAGGCTATTTATTGACTTTAAAATTTTGCATAATATTTGAGTTTAATAAGTGAAATGTTTGACTACATTCATGAGGTAGTTATGGTCACTCTCAAAGTGTTTGAATACCCATTGAAGTTATCAAGACATAGTCAAAGTTCTTGGGATACTTGTTAAGTTGGTTGAGTTTATCAACAAGATAGTCAAGATGCTAAATGTCATGAGCTCAATAAACTTAATAAGATTTTCTTAATTACAAATTTATTAGTTTTGATGATTTTTGGCTGATAAATTTTCATGTGCAAGCCATCAAATTAGGCTAACATTATAGGTAGATAACGAATGAACGATAATAAGATAATGGATATATAACTTGGATGGTAATCACATGCTAATGGAAGGGTGAAAGTTCGACGGGATGTTAAGCCCTAATGAACTAGTCACAAGGTAACCAAGAGGGGGTGAATTGGTATTTTAAAAAATCTTTTAAATCAAAAGCACAAACTTAAACTAAAGTTCACCATAGAAATCAAAGTGTGGAAATTAAATGTAGAAGCAGCAATAAAGAATACAAAAATTTATAGTAGTTCGGTCAACTTGACCTACGTCCACTCCTCAGAGCCTCTCCTCTGAGTATTACACTAAACATAGTGTCTCTCCTTTTTCCCCCACAACAAAGCAGAGAAGCTTTTACAAAGCTCCTTTCCACTAACCCCGATGAGGCAAAGAACCCAACTCTTTTTGCTTCCTCCAGAAGCAGGCAGAGAACCCAACTCCTTTTGCTTCCTCTAGAAGCAGGCAGAGAACCCAACTCCTTTTACTTCCTCCTAAAGAAGATAGAGAACCTCGATCAGATGCTGAAGTAAACCTCTCTAAAACCCCCAAGAAACTAGGGATGACGATCGGAGAAGACGACGATGGATCCTTGCTTGGAGCAACCTTTGTGAAACCCTCACAAATGCCCCTCACAAGATCCTCTCTCTCTCTCTATCCCTTGCTCTCCCTCTCCTCTTTGCTCTCTCAGGTCAGAACAACAGAAAATGATTCTCTCTTGAGTAGAACAAGATGTCTTATATAGAAGAGCTTTGGAATAGCTTTTAATTGCAACAAATCGACTTTATCATTTTATACGATATGATCAGTACAAATTTAGCTCAATCAGCCAAGATGATTTGGGATGATCATAAGGTTTTTGTTCATATCGTCCATGCCGATATAATATCATCAAGTATGATTTGTACAAGTCATTAAATATCATCCAGAATATCGCCCTGAATGGATGTCTGAATAATGGAAAAATAACTTGATCATCTAGGTCGATCTCACGATCATCTAGGATGATTAGTTCAATTCAGTACATATCGTCTAGAGCATCGTCTTGAATAGAAGCAAGCTGATGCTTGATCATCCAGGAACAACTAAGGTTTTTGAACGATCGTCCTGGCCGATCCTGCGATCATCCAGGAGATATGATCGAGCAATAAAACTTTAATTACTTTCCTTAATTATCAGAATAATTTAGGTATAATTGTACTGCATCGTCCAAAGCCATGTCCAAAAATAAAAGCTTCATAAATAGATCTGGCGGCTAATTTTTTTTATTTTGGCTTATCGTCCAGATCGATATGAATATTGTCCAAGATGATGCACTTAATGATGACTGTCTTAATCAGGATGCTCTAATTAGGGTTTCTATTTTTAACTAATCATCTAGGCCAATTTTTGGATCATCCCGGATGATATGACCAAAAATAAAAAACTCTATAAATAATCATAAATTTTCTCCAAAGTGTGTGTGTGCAAGGTTACTTAGCATTAGGAACGACATCGTTTATAATTGACTCAAGAAAAAGAAAAGATTATAAACTGACTCAGACCTAGTCTATTCAATCTTGAGCTAGTTTAAATTGCAATTTGATCTTGTGGACCTGAAATGTTAGTAGGCAAGATAGTCATAAAGAAGTAGAAGTATTTGTTATCATTAAAATTTTATTCCCTGAAAATAGATTTGCAACAATCTCCCTCTTTTTTATGATGGCAAACAATCAAATGATCAAAACTAATGAAAATAACTCAAACACTGCTCCTTTTGACATCATAAAAAAGGAGGAAAACCCATAAAAAAAGTAGAAAAAAGAATAATGAAAGCAAGTTTTTTTTTTAATCAAAGCATGAATATGATAAAGTCTCTATGTACTTGATTTTAAAGACTTATAAGACCAATGAGTTAACATTGTCAAAATTTAAAAACGGTAGAATATCATATCCTGTTAATCCTAACTCGGACTTTTCTCAAGGAAAAATCATCTTTTGAAAACAAAAGACCTAACTCATAACAAACCAATTGGATAAGAAAAATATATCCGTTTAAAACTTGGTTCTAGAAAAAAAAAATATCTTATAGAATAATATACCAAAGTAATTTGTTACAATCAAGAAATTTGAAATCAAGCCTTTTAAAATATCAAGTGACATATGAATTCTTCTAAGATTTAAAGGTCTGAAAGAGATGAAAGCTTGCTTTTTGTGGGCTCATTTTAAGCCTCTTGTCAATTAATTGGCACACTTTAATGTATTTTTTTATTTTTGACACACTTTATATATCTTTCAATTTTTTTACGATCATTATGCATCTTTTCACTTTTTTTTCTTTTTTGGGGTTAATTTTATGCTCTTGTCATTTTATGCAAGCTAGACCCCTTTTCAAAACTCTTAAAAACTCTCGGTTTTGAGTATATCTTCCAGATATTATAGAAGAAAAACTCACTCTCTAATAAACGGAAGAATAAACCATAAAACAGAATCAATTTTATATGATAAATGCAACAATAAGATTTCAAAGAATTTAAAAGTAATATAAAAACTTTGAACATTATAAATATAATATAGATTACTATAGCAAGATATAAAAGATTTCAATTACCAAGTCTAGTTGTTAATTTGAGATAGACTTTTATTCAGAAAAGAAAATTACACCGCTAAAAGTGATTAGAGTGAGGGAAACAATCAATGGTGTTTCTCCCTTTAACGGATTTAGAGATGTCAAAATATTGACTATAAATTATCAAAAACAAAAAAGGCATAAAATATCATTTCAATTATGACCAAAAATAAAAAAATTAATAAATAAAAAGAAAAACAACATAGATGAAATAATTACATAATAACAACATAAATAAAAAAGCTAACTCAAAATTAGAACATAAAGAAAAGAAAATAACAACAATCAATAGAGTAGTAAACATGAAAATCAGAATTTATTAAGCAGCAAGTTTATGCGATTAAGAGCCGCGAGCCTCTATTGTCCAAGTACCACATGCTCTCACGAGGTCTTTGGTGAGAGCACACATACAAAATTATCAAATGTCAGATTTAGGAACCCAAATAGGTTTGGGCCCTTCTTATGAAAAGAAGAATACAATGCATGTGTGTTATGATATGAATCATGCAATTTGGGTCTCCATATCTAATGTGTACTATGATGAATAGTGCAAGTGTGTGAAATATGTCCTAGTATGCCATATAAAAAATATCTAACTCCAGGAAAAGGATTTACTAATCTGTTCGGGTTATAATGCCTCTTCCTAGGTTTTGGCTTTAGATTAAGTGTGGATGTATTCCAATTTCTCTCAAGTGCATTCTATTTAGATTTAAACCTCAAGTTAGCACTTTCTAAAATAGCATTATCAATATTCAAATAGTGTTCCTTATGCTCAGATTCTTCAATATAAGTTTTAAAATAGATTCAAGTGAGGTATATGATGCTTTCAAAGAATCATGCTCAATAATCAATTCAGAATACTTTTTATTCAATTCATCAAACTCAACAAATAATAACATGTAATTTCTATCAAGTTGAGTGTGATCTTTACATAAAATTACATATTCTGTTTGTAAATTTGAAAATTCCAATTTCATACTAGCATGAATTTTTTTAAAAATTTTCTTATATGATGCATGAATTTTCTCACAAATTTTAAGTAATTGATCATCAGTTGGTTCACATACCTCTTCTTGATCAGACTAACCAAGATGATCACCCATCAA